TCAAAGTGGACGGCATCGCGGCCTGGGTTCATCACTCACACGTCAAGACGGCACCAAATGACGACTCCCAGCTGCAGTGGCGAGCCCGGAAGCATCCCACCAATCCACTCAAGCTGACTTTTCAGGCGCTCCCGGCCGCAACCCATCGCTCCCAGACCACTGCCCACGCCGTGAAAAATGACAGCAAACTGTAATGTTGGCTACCTACTGTCCTTCCTTTGTTTTCTCCTTGTCGGGGCTGACTGGGATCCCTGCCGACGGTGCATCACCCAAGGCATATTCAGTCATATTCAGAGCAAGTGCTACGTTAGCAAGCGTGCTTGCAGCCTTGAGGGAGTTCCTCTGTTTGCGGCGACCCTGATTAAGGGCACCACCCATGGATGTCCAGGTACAGTGGGGAGGGTGGTCTGTTGGAAGCGTTTAAATCGTATGCCGCCTAAAAATGAAAGTTGCAATCACTGTAAAGCGGGGGGGAGTTTTTCAGCCTATACCTTTGTTCATTCACAGTGCTATGAAAGTTCTACTGTTTATCAGTGCACAGAATCCAATCAAACTTTCTGGACTGGTATATCCTTAGGAAATAATGCGGGATATGTATGCCCTGTCAAAGCAGGAAAACCCTTTTGTTGGACTCTGCAAACCCACTGGGGAATGACAGATGGTGGGAGTGTGCAAGACCACGCACGAAAGCAGGAAGTTCAGAGGGTTTTTGAACAAGTTGCCCAAACACAGGATCGGTGGTTCAAGCCGATACATATCCCAGGTCCGGTGGGTTCCCTTAAATTGGAAAAGACAGTACAGGCCATGTTAGACTCAGCCCTACAATTTTTAAACAAGACCAACCCAACCCTGGCCAGCGATTGCTGGTTATGTCTAAGAGAAGGACCCCCCATTACACAGCGATCCCTGCTGTGTACAACTGGACTCATTGGACGAACCTAAAGGGCCCAACCCATACGTGTAACCAGACCTTGCCCATCAATAATGTCAAGCTCTCCCCAACAGTTGCTCAGATGCCATGCCTTGGTCACAATGGGACCTTAAGAGTGGGTCAAGTAAATAAGGTACTCTGCAGTTCAGTAGTCAGTGCGGCTACGGCGCCCAGTTTTAATGGCTCTGCCTCTATGTGCCCGCCGGCACTGGGCACTGTGTTCTTCTGTGGCACCACAGCCTACCCCGTACTCCCTGCTGACTGGTCGGGCTTGTGCATTTTAATATATCTCATGCCCGATGTGGGAGTGGTCCCAGGCAACCAAAGCCTTCCCATACAGCTCATCCAGTCTGTGCCTGCCGGACATAAGCAGGCCATAATTGCCCCACTACTGTTTGGCCTGGGGGTGGCAGCCGGAGTGGGGACCGGAGTTGATGGAATTGGGACTTCTGTTAACCTTTACCAAAAAATTTCAGCTCAGCTGGTGGGGGACATTGGGCAGCTAGCAGATACAACCTTAGAGTTACAGTCTCAGTTAGACTCTTTGGCCGCGGTGGTCCTGCAAAACCGTCGCGGGCTACATCTTCTCACAGCAAAGGAAGGAGGCATCTGTCTCTACCTGCGGGAAAAATGTTGCTTCTATGCTAACAAGTCAGGAATAGTTAGAAATAAAATTAAGCAATTACAAGAGGACCTCTAAAGAGTTTAGGAAGGCTTCAGAGATAAAAACCACTAAAGAGACATCTCTTGTTCAAGCAGAGTAATTCTCATTTGTGGCTAAGGATAATACCTCTTGCTGACTAAGTGTATGGTTTGACATCTGATTTTCAGAGGTCGTGGTCTGAGATGACACCGAAACAGTCAATGTTTTATATAAGGATGGCAATTTTTCAACTTTTGCTGGACCTATAACCCTGTGAATGAACAACAAATGACACATAATGTGGCTGAACTTAACCATAATTCTGAGACTGACTAACTGATGAAAGGCTTGGCAGCTGTGTTATTTTCTGAGCTGACTAGCCGTTTCAAAAAAAAAAAAAAAATGGGGGAATGTGGAACCAAGCTTAGCTGAGGTTTCGCCATTTTGTATATCCTCCACCTTAGTATGTTAGTCCTTGTCCAGCCGCATTCCGGAGATAGTTTCAGCAGTCACAACCCTCACTCCACTTGGTGACGAAAAAGCAGACCACCCCCAGCCGCCAATGAGGGCAGTCCTGTCCATAAATGGGACAGCATCTCTAACCGTCCAATCAGTTTGAAACTGGAACCGCGCGCGCCAAAATGCCTTTGTAGTAGCCAATGAGTAATTGCCAGCTTCTTTCAAAGTTCGCGCCACTCGTGACCCTATAAGATACCCCAGCTTCCTCTGTTCGAGGCTCTCGACCTCTGCCGTTGCATCGGTGCGTGTCGAGGGCCCGGTCTCGAGCCCGTAATAAACTCCTTTGTGCCCTTGCATCGGTTGTCTGTGTCCTTGGGGGCTGCACTGGTCGACGTGGGCACAACAAGGGTCTCTTGTCAGGGAAGAGGTAACATGTATCAATGACATTTCAGGGTCACATTTTTTAAATTTTTTTCATTAATTTTTTTTTCTTCCATCATTATAAAGTCCCCATAGTTTTCCCACTACCTTCTCACCCCAGGGTCACCACATTTTGGTGACTTTCCACACATCTTCCTGCTGATGCACCTTTGTTTCTTGGCACGAGTTCAAGTTCTCAGTGGCGTCAGCAGACACAGACTCCCCTTGACCTGCCAAAATGAGCTCAGGAAGCCATCTCAATGGGGGGCACCTGGGAGCATGGAGGGCATGGGCCTCTGTGGTGCAGACAAGTTTCCTCTCTCACTGTGGAATCTGGTTCTCAGAACACTCTCTTATTCTTCAGGGAGTCAGGCAACCAGCACAGAAACCTCCAGGCTGCATTGCTCTCTTACTGGGTTCTAAACCAACTGGACTGATCCTCAGTCCTCATCAAGTGGTTTGAGGGGGGTCTTGAACGGCAGGGAGATGGCTACTACTGTGCCTGGAAAGACAGCATAAGCCAAGTCTCTACTGACTAGCATTTCACAGACTAAAAGTGACTGGCTATTTGACTGTCGTAGGTGGAGACCTTTAAGGTATTGGGGTGAGGGGACCCAACCCTCCCAGCACGGCAGACCTCCTTGGGTCAGCTTTGTGCACTGGGGTCCCACGAAAGACTTCCTCTCAAATAGCAAGCTCTAGAAAACCACCCCAAAGTTTACTCATAACCCAAAGGGCAAGAGTCAAGAGAGAACTGAGAAACAGAGGCTGTTAATAAAACTGGGGGGCAAACCAGCTGCTAGGATCACACGATGGACGTTTAAAAAGCAAGACAGGAATGACAGAGGTCAGTGAGCCCCATCGAGAGGATGTGTGTGTCTGACTGACTGGATAGTGCTCTAGACAGATCTCATATATACTAGAAAGCAGGACACAGTGAAATGTTCATTCTTTAAAGATGACCCCACAGAGTCTTTACTGAGCAAGTGGGAGAATGTCAAGTTCTCCCCAGGGAAATAAGCACAGCAAGTCTTTGCCTGGCAGTGGGGCCACAGCATGATGAGCCCCGCCAGGACTCGGCAACTGCCACTGAGCACCCCACCCCCCAGGCGACATCACCACTCAAATTCCAGGTCCCAACAACAAAAGATGGATGTGGATGTTTCAGGACTCAAGGACAAGAAGGCTGGGATGGCGAACAGGGTTTCATTAACACTGAAAACGGCTCCCACTTTTCGCACATACATGTGGCCCAAGCATGGGAAGGGAAACCAAAGCTCAGAGAGTTCAAGCAATTTTTCAAGATAACCAGGTAAGAGCTCGAGAGCTGAGATTCTAAGGTGTGACACCTTGAGAGACAAGCCAGCTGCTAAGATCATACCAAAAAAATTGTAAGACCCAGACAAGAAATAACAGAGGAGAGTGCTTCCCGTTGAGAGAGCACGTGAGTCTCTGACATGACGAGGAGTTTCTCTGCCTCCCACAATTTATTTTTCAGTAACATCTGTCTATTGTAGCTGTGTTTTCTGGCGACTCAGAATGATATATCTATTATTTTGGAAACAGAACACCAAAAGAGAACATCTTTTTTTTTTTTTCCCCAACGAAAATGAATCCAAAATGCGGTGACTTACCTCTGAGGAGGTTGAACCTATTCCCCTGAATTATACACAGTGTTGAAAACCAGTATCACCTCAACAGAGAAAAAAATTGAAAAGAAATTCAAAGACACAGAGGAAATTATTCCAAAATGCTGGAAAGGAAAGGCCCGGAAGGGCATTTGAGACAGTTGTCCCACAAAAACAAAGCAAGTAAGGCAAACATCTGGGTTCAACTATGCTGATTTCAAACTTTCAATGACAGCATGAAGCAGAACCTGAGGCAGAAAACTAGGCGACTCCATCTTGTGCAGACACCATCTTAGCCCCGGGCCTGCACTCACAACTTACTGCACCACCCCGGGGGGGCAGGCAACCTCCTACTGCTGCTCTCCGGGGTATTGACCCATGATCCAAACCAAGCCCATCCATCTCAGCAGGCCAAAGACCCCACATCCCACGTCACCTCACCCCAGAAAGGCCCCTCAGGCTGAGCAGGGTTAAGCTGACCCCTGGCAGGGTGGGTCGTGTGGCTCCTGCTGTGCCCCCATGCTGCCCCAGCCGCGGCCCAGGATGCCTGTGTGAGTCGCCCTTAATAAATGCAAGTGTGGCGACTGGGTGGGTCTGCTTCCTTCTTTGATTTCAGTAGCCATCTCAATTTGGGGAAAATCATTTGTTCCCCAGCTGACACGCCATGTTTATAAGACACAATGGTCTGAATCTGTCCCAGATAGCCCGGTCAAGCAGGCCGAGAAGGGAGCTGGGGCAGAAAAAGGACTGGGTTGTCTGAGGTAACTGGAATGACACGTCTTAACATACAAGGATCAGTCGAGAAAAGTCACCCAAAGCATCCCTCAGGATGGTCTGGTGCAGCCACCACACGGCCCCTGGGGTGAGCAGTGAGGGGCGAAGGGCACGGGGCTCCCCACGGCAGCCGACTGGGCCTCACCTGGCACGTTGTGGATGGTGATGGCCAGGATGAGCAGCACGATCCTCCGCCAGCTGCCGCCGGACGGTGCCAGGGCCCCCGGAGGAGCTGCTGGGGCTGCGGGCCCCCCGGCCAGGGCCGCTGTCCTCTTCCGCTGGTACGCCTCACCGTTCTCGCTCTTATCTGTGGTAAGAGAACAGAGGGAAGCGCTTTGAAAACACACATGTGGGCACCCAGCACGCAGCAGCAGGAGGAAGCTTGCGGGACCAGAGGTGGTCTCTTTCCTGACTCCCCAAGGGCCCAGGTCTCCCGTCAGCAACTCATCCCCTCACTCATGTGTCCATTCAGCAAACACTCACAGAGTGGACGATCAGCACCCAATGTGCAGGCACTAACGGGGAACAAATAATGACAAAAGAATGGGGTGTCATAGCAACTCCCTTCAAGACAGGCAGCACTGCCTGCTGACAGGGAGCAGATTCCAGAACTAGTCCCCGGGACTGGCTTCCTCCCTGACTCAGCCAGGGGACAGCTGTGTGGCCCCGAAGGAGCTATTTAATATCTCTGTGCCTCAGTTTCTGATTCACATAACGGGGCGATAACAGTCTCCATTTTGAGGGGCCCTGTGAGGATTAGGTGAGCCCTGGGGTTCCTGTCTCCCGGGAGCGCACAGGCCTGACAGGGGCACTCTGCAGTGAGAGCTCAGAGGCGAAAAGTTCTACCAGCAAACCTGCAACTCTCCCCTGGGGTAAGAGAAGACAGACAGACAGGGAGGGGGTGAACAAAATCCTGTCAGTGGAAGGGGCAGGAGAGCCGTGTCACCCAAGGATCCGGCTCTCCCCCTCCGGCCACTGAAGCACAGGAGCCTCAGGGGCGGGAGCACCCACGCACACCCCAGCCCCAGATGTTCATGGCAACCACGAGAAATGTAAAGGCTACCAGAGGTAATGGCGCCCCTTGCCTCGGGTCCCAGCCTGTGAAAATTTCATCGGCAGGTGCAATGGCAGCGCGCACATGTGACAGCAGAACAAGCCCCGTGCGGCCAGAGCCACTAAGGAGTGTGCAGGGAGGACAGTTGAAGCCCATCTTGACAGAGCACAGGCAGCTTCTCTCCTATCCCACCCGACCTCCCCAGCCAAGACACACCCTCACCCTCCAGGCACTGCCAAGAGGGGAAGGGATAAGGCAGTACTAGTGACCAGACCCTTGAGGTTTCTCAAAGAGGGCAGGTCTGGCCACTTTGGAAGTGCAACTTGGCAAAGAGGAAGGACATTCCGAGGTGGAACAGGGCAGTTCATGTGGACAATGGCATCTGAGACACTGGAGAGGGTGGTACTGGAAACATCTGGATTAATCCTCAGCCCTTAGAGCCCCCAGAAGCTGAGACCATTCCCTGTAACCTACGAGGAAGAGCAGAGAGGCAGAGCCACATGCCCAGGGTCACACAGCCACTCCAAGTTAGACAGGGGGTCAAGCCAGGTCCTTTCTCTCCAGAGGGGGTGAATGCTGCTCACCAGGAAAGGAAGGAAACCCCCCTGCAGGATGTCCAGGTCTTGAAATGCTGAGATGTTTAGGGTGCAGAGGGAACCTGGGAGCTGAGTGGCATGACCTTTTGGGGTTTGGGGTGAGAGAAGGCTGGGGGGATCCCCTATCAGTCATCATCCTGCTCCCGACAAGCCCCAAGACAGCACATGAGCCTGTCAGACCATGTGGATCAGCAGTCGCTTGGAACGGACCTCAGCCTGGGAACATCTGGCCAGATCAACGCCACATTAACCTCTGCGCTCGTCACCCACGAGTCCAGCCCCCTAGAAACACAGGATGTTTGCTGTCACCGTGATGACGTAACTGGACAAATCGAACCAGGCCCCCAGGGCACACGCAGATGAGCAGATCACCAGCCCCTGGGACATTAAAAACGGCCCCAAGATATCTCTGCACAAATAGACAAATCCTTGTCTACTAAGCGCAGAAAACTTGGCAATCCCTGCTTTCTAAACCCCGGTCGCAAAACATAAAACGAAGGCTGGTTGGGATCTATCCACCACAGGCTGTAGACACACGGACAAAACCAGAAGCTGATCAAAAGCAGGGAAAGGAAGGCCCGTTTCCTTGTATTTTTCCTTCTTTCCTGTTTCCTAGAGAACCGGCATCATTTGGGAGAAAAAACTCACAATTTTAGCAACATGAGTGTAGCTAAGACTTTAGTTCTGCTTCATTAATCATTTATGGGGTTAGAATGACTTCCTGTATCTAATTCAAGCTGAATTTGAACATGAAATCACCACTTAATGAGACAGGAAGGGTCCTGGAACAGGGGCTGGACCTGACTCAAGGACAATATTTTGTTCAATTTTGCTGTCCCCCACGGGCTGGTAAACAAGGTAACACCTGATGAGCTACTACTTACAATAGGTAAGATATGGAAACAACCCAAATGCCCAAAATGAGATGACTGGATCAAGAAGAAGTGATATAGGGAGCCTCCCGGGTGGCTCAAGGGGTTAAGCACAGTACTATGAAGCAATCCGCAGCCTCTGCAGCTGAGTTTGATCCCCAGCCGGCCAGGGAGCTACCCACATGGCACAGCAGACCTCTCCTGTCTCGCCCGCTGCTCCCCTCAGCAGTGTATTTCAGTCGGTCTGCCTGTTCTGTTCCCCACTCTGTCTCTGGTGAGTCTTCTTATTCCCCGCATCTCTGGCCTATACCCCAGCTCTTGTATGCATAAATATATAAATCTTTAAAATAAAAAAAAAAGATGTGGTATATATACACAATGGAATATTGCTCAGCAATCAAAAAAGATAAACTCATGCCATGCACAGCAACATGGAAGGAGCTGGAAGGGATTATGCTTAGTGAAATAAGTCAGAAAGAAAAATACAGGATGGTTTCACTTATTAGGAAGAATGTAGGAGAACCAAATAAGGGATTGGGGAAAAAATAATTATAACAAATTAAAAAACAAAATTAACAGGCAACTATAAAACAGAGACAATCTGCAGTGGGGGAGAGAGAGGGATCAAAACAGGGGAGGGAGGAGCAGGAGGGACTAGGGCGATGATGCACCTGCATGAACTGGTGGTGGGAATTCTACGGGGACTACACCTGAGAGGGAAAAGCATACATTGTACAAAAAGGAAGAATAATGTAAAATATATATAAAATAAAAAATAAAATAAATAAAGGCTAAATAATCACAAAACAACAACAAAACCTGATGAGCTAGACCTGGACACCTGCTACGAGGAATTTCCTTGGCCTGTTGTTTTCCTTATGAATTATTCTTCCATTCCTGAGTTATCTTTCCATAGCTTATCAAGTTGGCTGCTGTGGGAAGAAAAGGGGATGACAGACCCAGAAGAAGAGTCGCAGCTTTGAGACCAGACCAGTTCTGCCTGGAGACGGCCAGGAGCCGGCATGACCCCCAGCTGCCCTTCACGCTGCCCACAACCGGCAGCGGCCAGGGGACTCCGGCCGAGTCCATGCTCCTTGTTTCTCAGCCAACAGGGTTCAATTCCTTTGTTCTCAAACCCCAGCGCTAAAACCTAGATACACCCCCAGCCCTGGCACCTCAGGAGTCTGTCTCGTGCCCAGAGAGGTCTCCCGGCAGCTGTCTTGCTGACTCCGTCGAGCCTGTGCTGCTGTCTGTGGAGTCTTCTTCTTAGTCCCTGCCAGAGGGTCTCACAGCCCTTCCCCGGCCTGCGAGCAGAGCTCCTCAGTCTGTGCCTCCGGCTCTTGGCAGGGGGAGCAGCGGGCAGTGACTGGCCTGTTCCTGGCTTATCCCCTGTGTAAGGGGGAGGTTGGGAAGAGGCTGCTCTCTGTCCTCGGATGCTTAATGCTGGTTGGCATCAACCGTGGCACACAGGGAAACCCAGGCCCACCGAGGCACTTCTCAGCAGTCCCACGGCACTTTTCATGTGTGCAGGTGGTCCTCCCAGCCCTGCCTGAAGCCGAGCTCGGAGCCATCACACTGAGCCAAGATGGTCTCTACCCCCACCCACGAGTCTCGTTTGGTTCTGCAAAGCTGTGAACACTACAAAACAACACACAACTACACTGAAGACTCTTCCCCAACGAGCATAAAAGTCCCCATATCCCTAACACAACAGCCACCATTGGTCCCGGCCTCTTGCCCAGCTCATGCACGTGGATTTTGTTTTTTGCATATTTACAGTCAGTGCATATGGTGAGGGCAGACCCGGTTACGCCAGGCTGATGGTGCATCGAGACTAGCCGCAGGCTGCAGGCAAGTGCGCTCTCCGGGCCACAGTGCCCTCAACAGCCGTGTCTACTGTTATGAGAACTGAAACACATGCCAAGCTCTTGGCACCAGGCCTGGCGCATGAAAAGCACAATTCACATTAGCTACTCCTATTTGACTCTATGTTTTAATGTAGGGCTTCATCTTCCACTCGTTCCAAACCACAGAAATATTTTCTGATTTTCTTAGCCTTTATCATACTGGTTTGTAATGGCTTGAAGGCCTTTTGCTTAGGTCCTGACGCAATGGCTCCTAAAACCGTTTCTTCTTTATGAAATTTAAATGGTCGCTTTGTTATTCCAGATGCCACAAGAGGCAGTGCCTCCCTCTTGCCACTAGGGGGCAGATCCTGCTTCCCCGACCCAGAAAGGTCACCCATCCAGGGAAGGTTCCTGCCTTGACTTCATGCACTGATTCTGTCTTAGGGCTTCCTGATTCCTGAATGACTGGACCTTGTAAGAGGGACTGACCTATCCCACGAAACAGCTTAGCAAATTGTGTGTGGGGGGGTGGTGAAGGGGTCTTCATGCAGAGATCCTTCATTCTTTCATGTGCTTGCTGTAACTAATTGTTGGCCAACCACTGACTTCCTGCCACTGAGCCAACAGTGTAGCTGAAGCATCTTATAAATGAAAATGAGGTCTCTGCATCTGACAGTAAAGAAAAGGTCTAGATCCCTTCATTTACCCAATGCTCCCTTCCCACCTGCCACCTTTCCTGGTCTAATTCCGGCTATAGCTTCCCCCCAAAAGGAGAGACTTCAGTTGAAATAGGAAAACAAAATACATTAATTCTTGGCTTTTGATCTCCTGTCGAGCCAAGTCCTGATGGCTTAATAGAGAGAAAGGACTTGCGAGGGGTTTATTTTGACTCTTGTCCTAAGTGCCATCTTTCGACCCAGTGGACACTGGCCCTCGAC